GTCCGAAGGGCCTCGCGCCTCGAAGGTTTATGCATTACTTAAAAGCCGCGAATGCGACGAAAAAATTTTACACGTCATATAACGATAAATAGTTTGTCAAATTTTTATTCATAAAAATGCAGTTTCAACTGCTTTTTATTTTATAAAATCCGTCTTCTTGCGCCACCAGAGGGCCTTTATAACAATAAGTAGTCTGTTAGCGCTGGTCAGTAGTTGTCCAAGTTCAATACAAACATTTGTTTCTTCAAAATTTGATTACGATTTAAATACGGTATTTATTTTTAATATTACCGATATGTCATCGAAAAGAAAACGTGTTGTATTATCATTAAAAGACACATTAAAATATTTCTTTCGATTATCCGGATTTTTCCTTATCCGGACTACCTTCCTTTCCAATTAGTCCGGATAATCGAGGTTTTACTGTATTTGTATAAAATATTTTAAATAGATTTCTACAAATCTTACTTGAGTCAATTAAGTGAGAATAATATTATAAAATGTAATTATTTTCTAAAAAATTTCGTAATAATTTCTTACTTGACAATAATATCATGCAAACGAATATCTTTGGTCTCGGGTAAAGGCAAAATGCACAAACCAGACGAAAGAGTCAATACTCCTACTATAATAAAAGGAATGCTCCAGTTCACCTTTTCGTTCTGTGACAAATGCAATAACATTATATTTTAAAGTAGTATTAATAAATTAATCAATGTTAAAGATAAGTGTGAAGTCCTACAAGATCCTTCATAAAAAATGCAGCGATCGCTCCGATTCTGGCACATGTAGAACACGATCCGATACCCACATTTCGAACTACAGTCGGGTACAATTCTAAAGTATATCCATATATTGTACCTGTTTCAATCGATACGCAGAATCTGCACAACACTAGCAAGGCAACCCTCAGCCATATAAGATCTGTTTCAAAAAGACCATAATATTCAGATTTCCGATGAAATCATAGATGCTAAGACGTTTCAAAACAAAATTATATACTTTTTGAATTATAATTTTATGTTTTTAATAATAAAACTAAACTAATAGTTAGCGATATTGATTTCATGTTTACCTTCTGGAACAGCTGCTATCAGCAACGAAGTGATGCCAACTGAAAGGTATCCAAACATTAAAATACGTCTTCTTCCAAAGCGAGGTAAAATAATGGTCAACACACCAGAAACACAATATTGTAATGAGGAAAATAAAACAAAAAAAAGAAAGATGTTTCCTCCTGTGATATCTGCATTTAATGATAATGCATAGGCGTCAAATATTATTACTAACCTGAAAGTAGTGGAAGAAATTCAGTAGTGTGTTTAGTTTATTAAAATAAGTTAAAAGAAGGGAGTCAATTGGAATATGTCACTCCATTTTTATAATGTAAAACCGTTCTATTAATATAAGTTTTAATTTACAATTCAATTTTAAGAGATATAATACAATTTATTATTTGTATAAATTTTAAAAAATGCAGAGAATTATCTCTTCTAAATGAAAGATTACAGTAGAGCGTCGATTATCCGAATCAATTGGGGACTGGTGTTGTTCGGAAAATCGATATTTCGGATAACAGATTATGTACGAAAAAGTATATTAATTTATCCCATGTTGAAATTTTTCTCCGTTGCGTGTCGCTTCGCGTTGAATTTTCGTCGATGTTAAGTATAACGAAGACTATTGTATCGTTAAAAATAATTTTTTTATTTTGTACAAACAAAATAAATATATTGAAAAACAGTAAAAATTATACTTCAGAAGTTAATTTAGTATCAGAAACGTAAAATATTTGAGTAGCCCAGGACATAGTCAAAGATTGCAGCGCCACAGCATTGGCGAAAATTTAAATTTGCCGACTGAAATTCTTTCGGATAATTGACTTACGGATAATCGACGCTCTATTGTATTTCATACGAGATAATATCGAAAAGTCATGAAAAGTGCTTACCATAAGATGTACATGAGGAAAGTAATCTTGCGTAACTCTTTATTCCTGATCAAGTGCAAAAAGTTCATTTTCTTCTTATTGTCATTCTGTAAGAGTAAGATCAAATGCAGTAGAATAAACCGTATCTAGTTAGCAAGATTTTCATATATATTAATTATATATTTACAAGGTGTGACAATTTAATTACAGGACTGGTAGTGTAGCGCTGCAGTGTCAGCGTGCAGAAACTTTGCTATGCTTATCATAATAGTCCAACTATCTGGCTGCTTGTCTGAAAAGGTTTGTTCGTGTCTCGTAACTCGTTGTTTTTCTGTAGTCCATTGCTTTGAGAAAGTGATGTCACGCTTTTGTCATGGAACAAAAAGTGAACATTAAATTTTGTTACAAGTCGGGTAAAAAAGCAACAGAGACGTATGCCCTCATCAAGCAAGTTTATGGGAATGATGCCCTACCCGCTCTTGTGTTTTCGAGTGGTTTGCGTGTTTCAGGAATGGCGGGAAGACCTTGAGGACGATGCGCGCCCTGGACGACCTCAATTAGTTCGAATACCGGAAAATATTGAAAAAATCAGAGACTTGCTGCGATATGACCATCAAATGTCTATTCGGATGATAGCGGATACAACTGGAATAAATCTGGAGACAACTCGCTTAATCATCACCGAAGATTTGGGCAAAAAAAATCTGCTCCCGCTTCGTTCCGCCATATCACACTGAGGACCAAAAGCGTCTCCGGCCGGAAGCGTGTCAACAGTTTATTCAAGATGTTGTTGATGATCTTTCTTTACTGGATTCCGAAAATCAAAATCACATTGTAGGGACGAAGAATCGATGACCTGGAGGACATGCAGTGCAATGTGACCTAGGAATTGAGAGCTGTCAACGGAAGTGACTTTGCCAAGTGTTTCAAGAACTTGTACAAGTGTTATGAAAAGTGCATTGCTCTCCAGGGGGATTACTTTGAAACATATTAAAAGGGTTTTTCATTATATGTTTTTTGTGTCTTTTTATTACCCCAGTCCTGGAATTTAATTGTCACACCTTGTATTATCACACCTTATATTATACACCAGTAGACTTTTCAGGAATGTATTTATAAGGACCATTTATTAACATGGTAAAGCCGACTGCATTAAGGGTGATCTGATTTTATTTATTTATTTATCCATATTACTATTATATTGTGTAAATAGAAAGGGCCAAATCCCGGATAGATCTGCGGTTAAATACAATTACAACAAATCTACGCAACTCTTAATTTTGACAAGGAACATACAAAAGTAACTATTTTTTTCATAAAGGACCATAAAAATCATCAAATAATCAGTTAGTTAGTCAAAACTTAATATACAGTACTATAAAAACTTAAGGTTCAACATAAAATGTGAAACGAATTAAAAATTGCAGTAACATGGAACGTTATACGGCGATTAATTTGACAAAAACATCTGAAAAAATATATTAAAGCCTCTAGATACGGTTTCCATTTATTATTTTGTACAGCAGAAAGAAATATATTAGAAATGTTTATATACGACCTATACCCCATTTTGACTCTTTCATCTGTAGTCAGTGAAAAAAAGATGTTTAATCTAATTCATCGTTGGTCGATCACAACAGGAGAAAACAAGACACATTGTGAAAAACACAATTCCGACGACGTCATTTATCAAAAAAAAAATGAAGATTTTCCCATGTACTATGTAACTAAGGTGTCAGCCTCTCGTTCTGAAGAACTGGAGGCTGATGCCTTAACCTCCACTGCCATAACTTATATGGCATTTTCTGTTTTATTTCCAAACACAAACTGAATTTGTTTTTTTTTTTTAATTATTTAACAAGTCACTTCGAATCACTTCAATCAAATGAATTTTTAGAAATATTTTGAAAATATGATTATTCTATTACAAATCATCGTCATTCAGTAGAAAGGTCAAATTATGTATTATTAAAATCAGTTTACCGTTCTAATTTTCCAATAAAGTTCTTCAATAATTTCGGATAAATCGTCCGTGTGTCTTTTATTCTTTTCCATTATGTTTCGTATAACGTCCTGGGCTTTACGTAATCGACCGTGAGTTAGCAGCCATCTCGGAGACTCCGGTATAAAACTAATGCAAGACATATTTTCATAACATTTAAAAACAATTAAAATATTAAACGAACATTACCTGATGAGCAGGAGCGTTATAATAGATGGCAAAATGCAGCATAATTGAATATAAGTCCAATCTTTGAGGAAGCAAGATACTCCGGTAAGTAGAAACGTCCCCGTAGTATAAAAGAAACTCTTAATTACTATTACCTTTTCTCTGTAGCTTGGTCCGACCACTTCCATAACTATACACAAAGATAATTTAATATTGTTAACGTTATATTTACAAAAACATTGTAAGTGAAATATCAACTTAAATATAAATGTTCACACGAAAATATGCATATGACTTGTTCATGGTAAGTGCGTATTGAATTCATGGCAATCTGCATTAAATACACGTACTTCAGTTGAATGATATAACTTAATACAGTATATTAAGCAAGACCCTCATAAAGTTAACTTTACATACTTGTTCGAAAATATGAGATTTTCTCGCATTGAAGCCAGAGAATTTCATATTAATTTAACTGATAGAAGCAATTTAACTATTCTTTAATGCATCCATGCGTATTAATAACGTTCTCTAACTTTTCATAATTGGAACAACTTAAAATTGTACAAAGTAAATTTATATATACAACAGAATAATACAGAACTGGCGAATTACAAAATTCGTAATTATAACACGCTGTTACCCGCGGCTTTGTTCGCGCGAATTTTGCAAGCAAACCCTATTTACATTCAGTATTTCAACAACCATAGTAATTGTTATATAACACCTACTGCCGAGTATGATGAGAATTAAAGGAAACTCTTTTTTATTTGATGAATTTTCTGGAACGTTTACAATCGTTCTATAATAGAACCAATATGCAAAAAGAAATTCGAATTTAAAACGGTTCGAACATTTGTTTAAAAAATCGAAATATATAAAAAATATTTGTAACTGAAATATTATCAATTTAAAACACCTAAGTACTCAATGAAGACTAAACGTAATTAAAAACAAGAAAAAAACGCATCTAAAATAGTATAGTAGAAGCGGTTCTTCAGGTTAAGCCTTAATGCTTTTCCTCTTCCCTTGCGGGGAAATTTCGAAAAATCTTTCTTAGTGTGCGTTTTCATGAGGTACCCTAACTGTATACCGAATTTCATTTCTGGGTTCTGAAATTTTCTAGAAAAAACTGGAACATTCTCATTTAAGTGTCACACATTTTCGAAGTCAACCACTTTCAAACCTATCTATCAAACCCTTATAGCTATCGAGACGCAACCACTATAGTGCACGATGGAAGACTTGGGGCTACTACCACATACAAACACCATTCATGTACGATGTATAGTTTTGGCTGCAGAGTGACGTATAGCAACATTTATATGTATATATACAATACACTCCTCAGTAACGTGGGTTCCTATAACGTAGATTCCTATAACGAGGCGAAAAATTGCGACAGTATTCGTATAAAGACGCTAAAAGGGACGCGTAAAATGCGGTAAAACGTCATCGCCAACTTCTCATCGCAGACAAGCAGCCGAACTACTTTCCGCCGTCCAGCGCCACGCTACGAAGAGTTTAGGCGAATAAGTTGAGTTTACTATCGTCTGTACAGTATGTAAATTAGGTACCGTAAGTCTAATACAGTACTGTAATTTTATATATTTCTTGTGAAAGAAACATTTCTTATTCAACGGCCATAAAAATTATTTCAATTAATGATGTCTCCAAAGTTCAACGAATTTTTCGCAAAAAAATAACATCAGAAATTGCGGCCGCCGTTTGGTGCGCTGCTCCGCGACAAACACAAGCTTAAGCAATGGCGATGTCGAACGGTGCACACTCGGTAAGTGATCCTACAATGTTTTGTTTNGATAGACCTCATAGTGGAAGTTTATACACAATCTATCCTTATTATGATTTTTTGTTTGTATTGTCTTCAATACCGGGTATGTTAAATATTGAATGTATTGTTTTTCTTATGTATAAAAATATTTTATATAAAACGTAATATTTTATACATGCATGCACACGCATACACACATATACTATATACAGTATATATATATATATATATGCACTATAGATTTTAATTGTAATGTTTTTTGATAATTTATTGAGAAAAAAGGTTGAAATATAAAAGATTTAAATAAGATTCCAAAACTTTAATATCTAACCAATCTTAACCTAAATCTGTATACATAAAAATGAATATATGTAGGTCTGCCCTTCAAGCATTATTGCACCATTTATCCGATTGCCATGAAACTTTGGTAAGTTGTTTAATACACTTCCGCCAAGGTTTCTGGAGTAGTACGTTTATCCTACGATAGGTGGCACGCGTGTATACGAGTATTTCACCACCGTTAAGAGTTGAAACTTGAAATTTGGTACACAGTTAGGGTAGGCTACGTCACGAGAACGCACACTAACAAAAGATTTTTTGAAATTCCCCTTCCCTCTCCCGCGAGGAAAGGGACAGGATTAATTAAAATGGGGAATACCTCAACTTCCCAACTTTAATGATGACTTTATGTTTATTTCTATTTGTAAATGATTGTTTCAAATATGCATTTGTCACGTCTTTTCGTGTATATTTACACACGAACAGAATAATGCACCATGCATAATGCACCACAAAGGCTTTAGAAAGGCAGCCATGTCTCCAGTAAAAGCAACATAAACATTTTTAATGTGTTTTTTTTTTATTAATTTTTTGAAATATTTATGATGACTAACGGTTGATTAAAAAATTATTTTTATGAAAGTTTAATTTGGAAGAAAATTTTGTAATTATGTATGATTTTAATTTATAGTATTTTTAAAATTTTAGGATTGGTATCATTTCGTGAACCATCAGGAACCTATTTTTTTGAATTACTTACTGCAGTATTGAGAGAAAATGCACATAAGATGGATCTGTTAAGTATGTTAACAGTTGTCAATAAGAAGATAAGTTTAAAGTTCGAATCGAGTAATGAAAAGATACAAGTTCCTCACATTCTTTCCACCCTACTTAAAAAATTATACTTTTTATGTGATAATGAAAAATAGAAAGAAGAATTTATCAGTGCATTTTAAAATTTTCTATTATAAACGTATATTTTTTAATAACATAATTCAAGATACTGTATTTTAAATTGGTTTATACTTAAAGATACTTTATATATAATCAATTTACTTTCAATTGCAATTTAAAAATTGTACCTTGTGTTATTTGTTATTATTGTTAAAACAACATACCTTGTAGAATCTTTAATCTGTAAAAGTATAATATAGAGATTTATTTTTAAAGCAATCTGGATATGCTATTGTTCTTACATTATTATAATGGTAATATATTAATAAAATAAAAGTTATATAAGTTCATTGGATCTTATTTTTCGACGGTTTAGTGGATCTTTCTTTATGCTCTAAAATAACTTTCCTGGCTTGTGGTCAGGAATGAATTCCTGTAATCTTTACTGATATGAAAGACTCGGATCCATTAGAAGACCCCATAATAATAGCAGAAAATTTGGTTTTCGTTGTTAAATCATCCATGTATTCGGTGCAATCCACCTGAGTGTTATGACGTTTTGAATTATAATAACGACGATCGATATCTGAAATCATTTCTTTTGTTTCTTTTTCCATTTCTTCTCTATCGGGAAGGAATACATTCTTTTTGAGAACTTTTACAAAACACCTGCATTGCATTTCAGAAATACGAAATGCACCTCTGTAAGGCTGAAATAAATCAATGGATGCTTTAAATGAAAAGGAAATCTTAATAATGAACTAAATGATCTAAATTCCTCTCTTTGACGATTAATAACAAAAATGTATTTTGACATTTTCGGGTGTTGTTTTTTTTAATATAAAGCCAGACAGTTGCTTCATAAGTTCACAGAGTTTGGTGAATTTCGGTTCAAGTATGGAAAAGTAACCCGTGTTCAAATAAAGGAACCATATTTACCCCACTACGTTACCTACCTCTTTGATTGACTACTGTAACTGCATGCCTGGTTTCTCTACCGATTGAACCAATTGTCCTTCCTTTTCGTTCATATGTCAGCAGTTACGCTGCCATCGCAAATTTTCAACTTTTATGTAACTATTTCAAATATATTTTTATTATCCGAATCAAACAACTCACCGTCATTCCAACGCCATGTTGGAAACGAAAAACAACTATTTACAATGTACGTCGAGGATAATATTTCCGTTTGTCTGCATTAAGAGAACGTTAGCTACGTTTCAAACAATTTCTCGCAATCACAGTGAAAATCGAATACGACATATTATTTTATAACTAGACACGAAGGAGAAAGCTCACTGTTCTCTCCAACATGGCGTCGAACTGACGGTAGTGACGCTACTAAAAAAAAAAAAAAAGACCGTCATAAATTACTAGTTATAAAAAAGTATATTTTACATGCTTCAAATATTACCTTTGCACACCGTGACCGCATATGATTTAGTATACAAATGGGTACTTATGCAGTTTGGTGGTACAGCTGCTTGAAAGGTTTTCTCCCATAAAACCATTCTAATTTGACTCGAACATTTCCAAAACACGTGGAATTTTTTAGGGATGATCCATGCTATAAACAAAAAATTGTAGGGTATACTTACCGAGTGTGAGCCGTTCGAAGACGTCACTGTTTAAGCTTGTTTTTGGTATACGCGTACGCGTGTTATGTGACAATTCTGGGTGTCATTTTCTCACGCGACGACTCACTCACCCATCTCTGACGTGTTTCCGGATAACTTCTCGCGGTAGAATTCGTTCTTTGCGCATTACAGTGCAGACGTAACGTGATAGATTTACATAATATTTCCTATCAAGATTTTTAGGAGTCTTTCCGCTCTCTTTGAAGCTTAATAACTCCCGTATCTTTAGTCAACAATTTCTGAAATTTTGCAGGTAGGTTTCTTTATTAGGGGAATTGATGATATTAAATTTTGGTGAATAAAGGTGGAAGAGGTGAGGTAATAATAGGAGTCGTACTTGTGAGAATACGGACGAGGGTCCAGGCCCTCTAATCGTCAGATCTGTTAGACCTGCTCACTTTGTCACTGGATGGGTTAATTTTTACAGAACCCGAGTGGTAAGATTCTGTGTGGGTTGTGCCTTACTGGAGGGGATGTCTATATGGGCTTTAAGCTGGAGGCTGGACGTCCCGATGGGTTGGCCTTATAGCATGTTCTATCTGGGATGAACTGCCCCTCTATGGCAAGGTCCTGGGAAACTGCCCCGAG